GGTAGCATTTTTGTCAATGAAGGATGTTGCAAAATTAAGGTGGTGCTAATGAATCTATTTTAACTCATCTTCAGGCATGCAATGTGCTCGATGCGGGAAACAATATCGAAGTCCCTATCTTCTAAAGAAGCACATACGAAGTGTAAGCAATATAGATCCATTAATTAAAAGGCTGTGAAGATAGTGAAAGAATTTTCACGGTCAGCTGGAATGTTAGATTTCTGGATTACCAGAATATACAGTTTTCTTGCGTTGTGCTGACGCAATTGTAGTGGTGTTTTAGTAGAAACAGCTCTACTTTGTTCTGTCTGTATGTCAAATTTGAAAGTAAATGAGTTTGTTTTAGGTCCACGATAAGGCATTCTCTCAGTATAGGAGAACTCGAAAAAATGTCTGCAACTGGGAAGGTTGCGGGAAGGCTTTCACGACTAATGGTTTACTGGAGGACCACCTGAATTATCACAAAGGTTTGCTTCTCGTGCATTATAGGGAAAAATTGCCTCATCCAGGAGCAAATATAAAAGGATTTTGCCAAAGAGAGTAGAGTGTTTGTTCTGCACATCATGGTTAGATAACTATAATAATAACTTCAAATTGGCACACGAGTTTGTTTTGCCCTTTTTTAAGTACAGGTTCGCGTTCCAGGGATAACACCGTACTGCTGCAATTCATGTAACGTATCATTTTCGGCAAGGGCTCGATTTGCTGTTCATCTTTCCAAATATCACAGAATGAGTATACGCGATTATACAAGCGTGACAAGTTTGCTGGGGTCTTCAGGAGTTTCTAGCTCAACAAATGCCTAGGAAATGCCTCTCAACATGCTCTATCCTAACAGAAGATTTCTTATTCTTGTGCTTTGCATATCATCCGGTGGCATAGTGCCTTCACTTTTTGGTATTTTCATCGATGTGATAGTTGAAGTACTCAGAAGTTTTACATAGATAGGGCACAGAAATGTTTAATAGCAGTCTAATAACACTTATCAGAAGACCGAATTTAATTTTATTGTTTACACGTTTCCTTTTTATTTTTATTCTCTTGTTATTCATTGTTTTTGTTACTTGTTTTGCAAGAAGCTTAGCTTGATGAGTCCACATTCTTCCTACAATTTTCTTTTTCTGAAGAGTTTCTAGCATTGTCTATGATATTCAACATCTGTATACCTCAACCATTATAAAGTTGATTATATAGCCTTGTGGTTCTGGGCAGGAATTGCATACTGTGAAATGTTTCACTCACCCGATGTCATTGGGCTGCTTAAAAAGAAGTGCATGTTCTGTTTCTCATGAGGGGACTCATGCAGCTCAAAAGGTAATGAACTCTTCTTTTCAGAAAAATGTATATTCGTACGCTTTCACTACTAATGGCGTGAAAAGATGGGGGGACCTTTGTCAAGAACATAAAAAGTGTCGCTGCACAAAAAAAATGCACCTTTGGAAGCCGTTATAAAGATCTTGGATGTGTGGCCAGCCTCGATTGCCGGCCTTTTCCACTGATCTCAACGGTGTGATTGGCTGCGTGATACTTACGTGATTGCGAGTATAACTGCCGCGCTTGGAAGGAATGCTGCCGGTTCTTCGACTGGTTTTAATTCGTTTAATCATGTTTCTTTATGTGTACTTGTGCATTTGACTCTGTTTTATATTGCTGCATGTGCGTTTGCAGCCGCATTAGCGGCGCGAGCCAGCAACAAATGCCGCGGAGCAGCTCGTCCAGTCCCACCCCCTCCTTATTTCGAGGGGGAGTAGGAGGAAGTCCCTGTTTGAGCGCTTCATCGGCAGTTTTCTTTGTTTTTTTTTCATTTACAGTCAACTCGGCATCCGCAAGCTCATTATCGACCGCTTCTGCCCCACCAAGTCGATTTAGGGGTGTTGCTTTGAGATAAAAAATGGTTTTCAAGATACTTTGAGCACTAGTGTTCCACATAAACGTTCTCCCTGGAGAGGGTGTTGAGACGGTCTGCTCGTTTGATTGTGAAGGATGCTTTGATTCTATTGGGAGAAATTGGTACGTTTACCGTGGTGACCGAAGAGTGCTACAGTTTGATTCTTACATGAATATTCATGATTCCCACGACTACAGTGCCTTGAGAATTGGTCCACCATATTTTCGTCGACGGGACGCTTTCAGCCGCCAAAACGCCACATATTATCTGATTGGACCTTATCCTATCCCCTTCATAGCCAACCGAACTTGCTCTTTCATGAACATAAATTCTTTCGCGAGTTTTCTCCTTGAATACGTGTAGACACTAAGCAAAATATATAGAACTCTTTAATAAGTGAAGGCACAATGCTGAATAAAAAAAGCCACAATGTTGAATACAAAATGTTACCTATGGTTGAGAGAAAAGTTTCACAAGAGTGCAAAGGTCATGAACAAAACTTGTTTATAACCTAGCATTCTTGTGAAACATTCGCAACGGAAACGGCATTAAAACAGCAGCTGACAAACAACAGGTCAAAATTAATCCGTACAAGTTTTTTTTTACATGATATTGCTGATCAATACAAGGCGTAAGTGATATCATTTCGCATTATCATACATTACAAAAGCTTCAGCTTACAAGTATACTCGATATCAAGAGTTGGGGTAGGCGTGTCACCGGAAGTGACGTGCACTTGATAGAAGCTATGTGGATAAGCTGCTTCCAACATACATCGCTGGATATCAGCAAAGCATGCTGGCAACAGCTTATCCACGCAACTTCTATCAAGTGCACGTCACTTCCGGTGACACACCCACCCCAACTTTCGGATATCGACTGTAGTTTGCAGTGATATGGAAATGGTGCAATAAGTAGAGGCGTCGTTTAACATTGCACAGTCATTGCGATTATCTATGCTTCATTTTCGTCATTTTGCATAGTATTCATGGCTCACGGGCTCAGCGATTCGGCAATTCTGCTGAGAGGATTAGGTGCACATCGATTGTATTGCTTAGCTCTATGAGTGACCCCGACGATTTAGCGGCGAATCGGCTATTCGGCTATTCAGTGATCCTTCTAATTCGTCCAGTTCTCTGACAATGACGGTCGATACTTATCCAATGTTGTGCGCATCGTTACGATCGTTACGATCGGGCGACCAACTATGAAATGCTTGGCATGCACTTGTTCCCCGGCCAGCCCTTGTGGTCTGCGTATGAGTGCTAGATGCATAATAATAGCACATCGCATCGCCCAGCATCGATTGAGTCACAAATGCGTGAATCGATTTTTTCTTTCGGGATGTGATTTTCTGGGCGATGTTGAGCACTTTTGGTAGGTATTATATTTAACATTGATGCGGTAGCCAAATGAGCTCCCTGTGTCCACCCCGCAATTGCCACGAGATTAAATTTGCCAAAATAAGTAAACTGTTCCATTTTCCGTGTCCGGTTGTTCGGGATCATCTCTGCTCAACAGGCAAAAATCGGTCCACACTTTGACTCCCCCTCTCCTTATGCTATCGAATTGATGAATGTCTGTAGGACGTGGCGCATCCCAAAGAGAAGCAAAAATCCCCCAACCAATTAATCCTTTATTCGCCAAGCCTATACGTGAAACATTCCGTAAGAAAGTTTTTTTTGACTTCCCAATCTCAATTATAGGCATCAACCTAGACATGTCCCGGTCTCCAGACGTAATCGCTTTGCATCAGGTCCTCCTCTGTTCCTTTTTCCTCTTGTTCCACTGCGCCATCTTGTCCCGAGATTTGATCCGAGTGAGATTCAGTCCATTAAAGTCAAATCGTACGGCCGTAAACACTCAGCTGAGCCGAAAAGTGTCCATAAAATTTAAGCACAGAGATAAATGTTCAGTCGTCGCCCAATTTAGCGTAGTCATCGATGACAAAGAAAAAAGGTCATAAAAAGCGGTGGTGAGCAGACTTGAATCAGCTTTTATGGTGCCTGCGAAAATAGGAGAACTTCAAATAAAACTTGATCATAAGCAATCGAATAGTTTGCTCGTCTATAAGAGTGAAGGGTAAACGCCGGTGTTGATCTCATTTGACTTCTTTGGTTGCGCCACGTCTTTGAGCACCATGCGGAGTTCCTTCTCATTGCGTAATTCACCCTCATCCTACGCAACGCAGACTCCTCCATTTCGTTCTCTCTGGCCCAGGCATCTTGCGGTAGCCCGACTGAGTGGATGGCGCCAAAGAGAGAATAAAGCTTGGAGACAGTCGGCGAGATGCGAACCGAATGATACTATACGACACCTGCTGCTGTTAAGCACCATTCCATTTACGTTTTTTTTTTCAGCGCCTGGGTTTTTTTTTTCGAAGAAAAAGAGGATCAGCAGAATCTCATGGAAGCCTGACCACGTCAGAAGCACAATTATCGAAGCGTTTGCCTTGAAAAATGAAACTCTCATGTGACACGCATGAAGATATGCATAGCTGCTCCTACTTCGACTTCTGTTCGCAACGAGTTTCTGGTCCACTTTCTTGTCACCGTGTCCCTCTCCTCCAGTCATGTTCGCCCTTTGATAAGCATGATGAATTCTGTAAAAAAAAGTCATCTCTATAGAAAGGTTTCTATATTAGTGCTAAGAAAGGCAATTTTGTAAGCCTGTGTGGACAGGCCACGGACGCTGACTACTGCATGAATCTAAAGCATCTCTTCAAAAATTCAGAAGGTAAGGGAGCTTGTTAAAATTCCAAACTTCTAAAGACACATCCTCTGATGAAGCTAGGTGGCGTTTCTATTACCCTAAAATCCCATAGATAAGAGCGGTTTAATTTACCGGTGAAAAATGAATTGGAATGAAATTGAAATTGAATGCAGTCACCCCTCTAACTTGATGGATGGATAAATAAAAATCGGAGAAGAAGTTTAGAAGAAGCTCCGTCCCTCAACTCTAAACCCCGCCCACTTAATAAACAATTCATATAGAAAAATAGCGATTTTAACGGAATTTCTGCCGGAATCTCTCTAGAAATGCCGGAATTTGATCTCTGGATAGAACTTGAAGAGCCCATTCGATCAGTAAAATTCCATAGATAAGAGCGGTTTAATTTACCGGTAAAAAATGATTTTGAAAAAAAAATATTTTTATTTTTATTTTATTTTTGAAAAAATATCTATGGACCGCTCTTATCTATGGGATTTTAGGGTAGTTATGCTCTTACAATGGTGGACAGTGCTGGCCGGCTTTCGTGGCCGTCCCAAAGGCAAAACCCCGGGATCAGACTGGTGCTATAAGCGCTTCGCAGTAATAGTTTAGTTGCGGAACGACCTGAAAGTGCAACGAAAAGCGAGTGAAGTCTTTGGGAACGGCGAATTTAAGGCCTTGACCTTCACTAAAAGACGAATTCACGCTGGAAAAGGCAACCCATTTCAAAGTTGGTACACTAAAGAAGGAAAAACCATGCGAAACGGCCCAGAACCTGAGAAATGGGACCACTTCCTTGCCCGTTGATTTGAGCATTGATGCGACTATCATCGCTGTGCCCTCTTCAACGCTACGCTCTCTCACCTATCTAATCACTCACCACGTATAGACCTGCGGCGAGTGATCAGATGATCGGTGGGCGTGCACTGACCAGCCGCGGCGGGATTAAACCTTAATAGGTCAACGAGGTCAACTCCTCCTGTGCAAATTGTGCTTCAGTTCGCACACTTAGGAGCTCCGCGGGTCCCTCAACCAGGTGAATTCTTCCTAATTCGATTTTCCCTCTGATCGTGAATTCGTCCTTTAAGGTCAGATGTGGGAGACAGGCGGTCAAAGAAGACAAAATACGCGAGAGAGCACGTCGTTTGAGAGAGCACGCTGATCTCTACATCAATGCACGCTGATCTCACCACCTCTCGCGGTGGGTGGGAAGCGTTGGAATTGGGGTCGATGGTTGCAGGCCCGTAAGGATAGCGCAATTTTGCGACGAAGCTGGAGTGATCTAGGTAGGTGGACCTTACAATTTTCCTCGTGGTATCCCTACTACTAGTCGGGCTGATTGCGGGGTTTGTCTTTAAAAGTGCGCGACAGAGGCGTAAAGGCCTTTTCATGACTGCCGATGGTCGCCGGTTCTGTGGTTCACGATGTAATGGTTGCAGTGTATGTCGTCTCGATATTCCATCCTCTCTCGTCTAAATATGTTCTTTTGTCGTGGACCACAGTGTCCTAAGTTCTGTAGACCAAGGCGTTGGACACACTCAGCATTTCCTATTCTTGCAAACAAATGCACCACTACTCCTGTTTCCGGTGATTTCGGCAGTTTGTTCCCTAACACCACTGCTTCCATTTTTGTTAAAAATAACCACACCTACATATTTATCGCTGAACTGTACAAATGAAAAAATCTAGTAATCGTGAGAAGTGAATCAAAGGCATGCCCCAGGATCACAGTGTGGCTCTTGCTCACGCGAATGTATTGGTGTGAAATGGGCCGGCAGTAAAGAAAAAAGGAAAAGAATCCGTCGAAAACGCTTAGGCTCACTCACCTTCCTAATCGGCTGTGCTAAGGGAATGAGAGACTAAGCGCGGAGAGGAGAGTATGAGGCGAGAGAGCGCTACAGATGAGAGAGCGCCAGACAACAGCCTGATAAAAAAATCTGCAGCTTCAGCAGCTTACTTTGCAAGGCCCAAGCGCTCTTGTCGGTTGGTTTCCGTGCACGGGAACGCCACATTTGTGATTGTCCTCCTAGGTTTCTAGGGACGAAGCCAGGAAAGCGTCGACATCGACCTCTGCCGATTTGCCTTAGGTACGTTGAATTTGTCCCAAGGTAATTTTGACTAGTGATATCCGCATTGTTATTCTTCAGTAGTGAGCACAGTATAAGTTGCATCTTCTTGGATCGCAAAAACCCGATCATACAATACCTCCCCTCCCAAGGTAGTGAGAAGAAAAAAAAAAAGAAAACCATGTTTTATAGTGAAAATGATTATTCCTACCGTGAAAACTGATCAGGCCATCGCGATCCACGTCTCCTTCTTTGATCATTTCTCGAGCGTCAGTTTCGCTGAGCTTTTTCCCTAGTGACTGCATCACCATAAGCAAATCATCGACCGATATCATCCCATCGCCATTTTTGTCGAATACCTAAAATGAGCCTGATATTCCTGGTCGGTAAGGGAATGTAACAGTTGAGCGGCTATGTACGTTATTCTGCACCTGGGAACTTCGTTTTGGGAGATTTGAGATGTAGTCCAGGATCGAGGCGAGAACAGACTCAGTGAGCGAGAGCGCATAGAAGATGAGCGAGACGCAGACATGAGCGTATACCCATAACGGTGGATGTCCATTAATGGGTTCATAGTTGTAATCCGTCATCTCTTAGCGTACTTTTCACATTTTTAAGTTGCGAAAGGAGGCGATCTCTCTAGGGGGAACGTGCGTTCTCACTCACTGGGCGTCAGATCAGCACAGTTGGCCCCTTAATGGTTAAGTTTGGGATCAGACTTAGGTTAAGGCTTATGCTTACACATTGGCTTATGCTTAAGCCTATAATTGTGCTAGCTTAGTCCTAATGCTTGCTCCGAGCAAATGAACGGAGTTTCAATTTCAGGTGACCTGACCCCAAGAGGAGAAACGCTACGCACCCGTCTCTAGGTTGTGAATCCAACTATCTTCATCATGGTAGATTAGTTCCCATGAAACAGAGTGGGCGTTCGAAGAAACTTAAACCAAAACCATAAAGGTTCGGAGATTTTTCGTTTACTGAATCTTCAGCAAGGCATTTTGAAGCGTGGTGTTGGATAATTTCAGGGGGGTGCCAACAAAAAACATTTTCCAGGTCGCATTCGGGCCCTTTCTTCGTTCGCAAGATTTGCCGTCGCCGGGAAGTTTTTCTGTTGCACAATGATTTTCCTCGTCACGGAACAGGAAAGACACGAAATGAGCCATAGATATTTTGCGCAATGCTGTGCAATGCTTAAACGAGCGCCTACTTATTGCCCACCATTTCCATATCACTGCAAACTACAGTCGATATCCGAAGTTGGGGGGGGGGCGTGTCACCGGAAGTGACGTACACTTGATAGAAATTGCGTAGATAAGCTACTGCCAGCATGCTACTGATATCCACGATGGATGTTGAAAGCTGCTTATCCCAGCATTAGCTATCGGGCACATAGCTTCTATCAAGTGCACGTCACTTCCGATAACACGCCTACCCCAACTCTTGATACCGAGTATACTTGTAAGCTGAAGCTTTTGTAATGTATGATAATGCGAAATGATATCACTTACGCCTTGTATTGATCAGCAATATCATGTAAAAAAAAAACTTGTACGGATTAATTTTGACCTGTTGTTTGTCAGCTGCTGTTTTAATGCCGTTTCCGTTGCGAATGTTTCACAAGAATGCTAGGTTATAAACAAGTTTTGTTCATGACCTTTGCACTCTTGTGAAACTTCTCTCAACCTTAGGTAACATTTTGTATTCAACATTGCGGCTTTTTTTATTCAGTATTGTGCCTTCACTTATTAAAGAGTTCTATCTATTTTGCTTAGCATCTACACATATTCAAGGAGAAAACTCGCGAAGGAAGTTATGTATGTCCATGAAAGAGCAAGTTCGGTTGGCCATGGAGGGTATAGGGTAAGGTTCAGCTAGTTAGTTAGTTAATATGTGGCGTTTTGGCGGCTGAAAGCGTCCTATCGACAAAAATATAGTGGACCAATTTCCAAGGCACTGTAGCCGTGGGAATAATGAATATGCGTGTAAGAATCAAACTGTAGCGTTTTTTAATTTTTCATGTTCTTGACAAAGGTTCACCCATCTTTTCACCCATTAGTAGTGGAAGTGCACGAATACATTTTTTTCTGAAAAGTTCATCACCTTTTGAGCTGCATTAGTCCTCTCATAGGAACAGAACATGTAATCTACCCTTCAAAGAGCCAGAAAGTAAAAAATGCAAATGTTTTTTGCCAATGAAATGATTAACCTGTTGCAGTTGTATTCTATCAGTTGTCACTAATTACAACTATCATTTACCAAAAATCAGCTATCACTATGAACCACTACTAACCAGATTTACTTGGAGGCCGTCGTCACTTGTGGTGTATGGTCTGCACCCGACACTTTCTGGCTTTTTGAAGGGAGGGTAGGTACTTCTTTCTAACAATAAGCAACCCAACGACGCCATGTAATAGAAACATTTCACAA